ATAAAAATTGTAATTAGTCTTTATGTGAATACTAGAAATTAATTAACTAGATGTATTCATTATAATATAATGCATTTAATTAAGGACTTTAATAAAGTGTCGGCTACCTAAGATTTGAAATTAATTTTATCAACAAATTTAATTAATTGTTTTACAGCCATGATAAAATCAGTGGAGGTAATTATTTGTCACATAACTTAATAACATAAATTAATTCCAGCCCGAGCATTAATTAAAAATATATTTAATTAATAGATCAAAATAAATTTAAGCTGGGTTTAATTATAGGGTATGATTTAGGATTTAATCTAAGAAATTATGTTTGGGTAAATTACAAAGCATGGCTAGCCACCATGCATAATGGATTAAAAACAAGAGAGAAAAAATGTCATATTTGTTTTACTGCAAAATGCTTGGTGTGTTGGAAGATTAATGAAACTAGTAAATTTAATTAAGATTAATTTTGTTCAAACTTAGACATTAACCCAGAGACTAGTCCTTATTTCAAAGTTTCTTACCATTTTAACCACACCAGGGAAAGCACTGAAGGAGGACTTGAACTTGTCTAATTTCCATATTCCTCATCTCTTAGGATAAATTTCCACTTAAATCTGGCTAAAGCCAGGTTTCTTTGGAACTTTCACATCTATCATCTCATTCCTGACTGCTTCCACACCATTCCATCTCTCTGCTTCTGCATAAACATTTGATAGCAGAATAAAATCCCCATCAGTAAGAGGTTCCAACTCAGTAAGCCGCTTGAAGCTTTCCTCTGCCAGCTCCATATTTCCATATATCTTACAAGCACCCAACAATGTTCTCCATAAAACGGAGTTTGCATCAAACGGCATAGTTTTGATGATCTGGTGCGCTTCATCCACGAATCCCCACCTGCTAAGCAGATCCACCATACACCCATAGTGTTTTATGTCAGGCACAATGTTGTACTCGTTGATCATCCGGTAAAAGTACTCCCTTCCCTTATCCACCAAACCCTGGTGGCTACAAGCAATTAACACACCTATGAATGTAATCCTATTAGGCCTAGCCTGATCAATCCTTTTTTCCATGGAAGCAAACAATTCTAAAGCTTCCTTGGAGTTACCATGAACAGCTAAACCTACAATCATTGCATTCCAACAACCAACAGGCTTCATCTTGAATTCATTAAACACCTCCCAAGCACAACTTAAGCTCCCACATTTATTTCTTATTTTTGATTGATTTTGATTCCTGTCAAAAAAAAAATTGAAGTAGAAGGTTTTTTTTTTCATTTTCATGAGTCGGCGCTTTTATGTTAATTCGTACTGTACAATTCCTTTGTTTGTGGGATCATTTTCTCACAAGAGGTAATGAAAAGAGTTATGGAATGGATTACTACCTATGCCTAGATCGCGTATAAATGGAAATTTTATTGATAAACCTTTTCAT